CCAAGAAGACATGAAAAGCAAACTCTCACCTTCCCTCATTATGCCTTCTCCACTTGAGAGCAAACGACCACATCATCAAAGTGTCCAAGTGCCACCATCAAAAATAGCGAAACAGATAAACTCACCAGGATTTCTCAGTTGGAATATTGCAGAGGAACGTCAGAAACACCGTCCTCAGAGCAAGAGTTTCCACAACCCTGCAGGGACATTGATCGGCTAGATGTAAATATGACCATTTGTGGTGTGTGTAGATGTGTGGGCCATCTCAGTTCCTGAAAATAATCTAAAATATGCTAAGTTCAGTGGAAGGCATAAAATCCACTTAAATTGGAAAACAAACAAGCTCATTAGCACAGTAAGAACACAAAAAGGCCTACCCCTAGTCCAGAACAAACCTTACGCCTTAGAATATCTTTAGTTATTAACTGGTTCTGAAATGCTATTCAAGTTATTATAATTCAAAGACCTACTTAACTTTGCCTTAAGACTTTTTGGCAAAGAGTTGCAAGACAATAATATTTCTGCAATTCTGAGGTGTAGTTGAAAACAGCAATACCTGAAGATTTCCCTTAGTGAAAGGATGCTCCAAACAATAACAAAATTTCTCTTAAGTTTCTTGCTAAGACATTAGATGCTCATATATATGCAAGCCTGACTTGGCAACAGCTATTAAACCCAAAGGGTGGTACCATTCTGTACCCATGGATTGGATTTTTCTGTCAATTCCCAGCAAGATTACTTTCACATGAACATAAATTTCCTGCCAATGTTTTAAACTAGCTAAATAAGGAGTTGCTTACTTCTGTGCTAATGAGCTTGTTGTTTCACCTTTAAACAAAGTTGGCAAAAAAAAAATCATAAAAAAAAACTTAGTTCAAAATTTTGTCATTTGAAATTGATCATGCAAGAAATAAAAATTTTGAGCAAGATTTCATTTACTGAACTTGTGAAATCCTAAGGATTGGTAGAAATAATTGAATCATTGGTAATTTCTTTATCAGACAATTGAATTTAAATTGTTTTACTGTTGAGAAAGTATAGTTTTAGGATGCCGTCTGTGTTTAAAGGTGAAAGAATAACATTGTAGTCTCAAGTGCCATCACGCTACTCTAATCTAGAGTAAAAATGTATAAAAAATGAGAATGACTCCGCCCGATTAAGTCATAAATGGCAAGGGTTTTTGGCCGACAAGATTACTGTTAACAAGTAAAAGGAAGAAACAAAAGCCTAGAGCATGATGAACATTGAAACTACAAAGTGTCTTATAAAATAAGGAAAAAATTTCTTAAAATACAAGTCCCTATTGAGCAGCTTCTTTCCCAAAAAGCAAATACATGTAGATTACATCAATTTGAAAGATTTTCTTAAGTTAATAAAATCAGGAAAAAATTTGGCCAAGCAAACTAAATTACTTGGAATTCTCTTAATATATCTCAAATTTCAAATGCAATTGTAAAGAATGCTGTCAAATGATGGATGGTACAAATTTGCCAGGCTGAACTCTGAAATTTGTTCCTATCAAAATGTTCAACAAAATAAATGAATGAGCCAGGCTCTTTCCTTTTTTTGTTCAAATTTCATTCACACCATTTCAAATCATTTGAGTTTCTCCAAGGTTCCCCTCTGAATTTGCCTGCCCCAGTCTATCTGACAACATGAATTGAGACAAAAATGAACAGAAGTATAACAGCTAGAATGTAACAAAAAAAGAGAATGCTGCCATAAGATAACTGCTCAATAGGAATCTTGAAAGCAGAATGAACTGAGTTGTCATGAGCAAATAAGTGGCTTCAATAAAATTATCTACAACTTCATATGTAGTCTTGGATTTAAATATGTCTGATCAATTTTCCCTAATATAAACCAAAAGTATCAATTGAACTTGAATGCTTTTCAGTTTTTTAACTGAAATGATTTTTTTTTTTTCATCTGTTTGGTAATTGAAGAAACTTTTGGTTTGAACTCTCCAGGAGTAATTTAAATTAATTGATCTCAGATTTGAATTTGACAAAATGCAATGACCTAGACTAAAATATTTTAAATCTTTTTTATTGTGTACATCAAAATATCTGTACACATGACAAAAAATAAATCAAAGTAAATATAGTTCATTTATAATAAAAATAACTTTTAGTTGAGGGTTTCCACAGTTTTTTTTTTTTCAATCAATTTTTCAGTTTTTGATTTGAACAATAATATTCAGTTATTGTTATAATAACAAATTGAGTATTTTTGCACAAATTTGAATCTTCAGTTTGTTCTTGAACAAATTTTTTAGTCCTTTTTTCTAAATGAATTTGAGTCTTCTTTATGTACACTTAACTGTCTGCACACATGAAAAAAAAAACTTTTTTTTTTTTTGGATTAATTGAAATAGATTTTAGCTTTTGTTGAGTCTCAATTCATTTGAAGTTGGTGATTGCTATAAGCAAAATAATGTGCCCAGTCTGATGCTATGAAGGAGACAATTTTCGCAAAATATGTGACGAAAATAAAATCAAAAGATAGGCCTATCTAGAGAGAACACTAATTTGTAAGCAAGCCACTTATTTGCAAATGGATGGCACACACAACACACACTGGTCAGTTCAATACTCTGTTTATCTCAACAGCTACATGTGCAACAAAGTGATATGAAAAGTGTTTTGTAATTAATGGAATACACTGTATATGGCTGTTTAAGACTTCAAACTGTAGGCTGCAAAATGTTCAGGCAATAATTGCTAATTCTAGTCGCAAAATGCATTAGTGGACTTTTATTAGGTTTTTACATGTGATGCACCTTAGTGTTTTGTGTTTAAATAAAACGATAAATCATTGATTGTTTGATTAATTGATTGCCAATGATTGATTGATTGCTGGATTTTAACTGATTGAAGTCAAATTAATTCCAATTTTGTTTCTAGAACCCTGGAACTTCCCTTTTCCCCATGATAAAAAAAAGTCTTTGAAAATAGCTAGATCAATAATTTCTGTAGCGTTATTTGTAGTAGTTATTTTAGTCATCATCTGGCAAGTTTTCTCCTCAATTTGGGTAACAGTCCCCCCAAATAACAACTGCAGAGGAGACTATGAAATCTGAAACACTGGTGCACATGTAACTAGGCAATAAACAGAGTATTACAAATGTTTACCATGAGTAATCAAGGAGTTTTTGTCTAATTTGATGTAAAGCAGTATTGATTCCGTGTTGACAATTTCATTGAATTTCACTTATGTACATGTGTGTGAAATAAAGAAATAAATGAGGAATAATCTAGTACATGTCTTCATGGTAAACATTTGTTAGCTAAAATGTTACCTTTGTTATTTACATGATATTGTTCAGCTTTAGTGCAAGTTCTTGATGTCCACATTCTGTCCTTGGTCTTTGGTCCTCTGTCCTTGGTCCCCTGTCCTTGTTCCACAGTCCTTGGTCCACGATCCTCTGTCCTTGGTCCTTGGTCCTTGGTCCACGGTCCCCAATCCATGCTCCAGAGTCCACGGTCCACAGTCCACGATCCACTGTCCACATCCTCATCCAAGTGTTTGCTATCTCTGCCAACATACCTGCAAAATCAGTTCCATTAAATATTTTGAGTCTGTCACTCACCCTGTAAACCTTGGAATGGTTTGGACATAAAATGTCAAAAATTCTGTAAATATATTTTAATTTCTCTTTAGAATGCTCAAGTTATGCTAAAATGTTCTTATAGTTTATAAACAACAACCTTACACAGGTCCATACTGGAACACTTTCTACAGTCATTAAGCACCAGTTTAAAAAGAGTACTTGGTTGGAGTAAATTGAGTAAACTGAGGCAACTGAAGCTAACATCACAGGGTTTTTAAGGTGGTTGAATGCAATAAACTTCCAGAACTATACTTTGACAGATAACTACTATGTACTTAATATCTCTGTAACTGTGACAATTGTATTACAGATTAAAATATACCCACCATCTGTCTAAGGCATTGTTTTATGATCCTCCATTTTCTTTGGGCCATCTTGATATGGTCTTTTTCTGATGTGGATGTGTCTGTCATCCTCTTGTCAGGAATGAAGGTCCTTAAATTTTAAAGAGATCACCTCAGGTCTAGTTCAGACTAGTTTAACCACATTATACTATAATGCAAGCTACATAAGAGAGTGGTGTAATGGCATGTCTACATTTGTAATCACAGACATCTGGGACGACGGCCATCTCCTTATTTTTTCAAACTGTGTTTTTATTGAGTGCTGCCATCCAGCATAATATTGTTACGTGAGTCATAGATTCATACACACAACCCACTAGGTACTAGACTACAAATAGTCCCTCTTTTGCGCAGTCCATTGAGTGAGACTGTTAATAAATTGCAAGGAAAAAATGGCTGCACAAAATCCTGAAAGCGTTTCCACCCCCAGGATTTTGTGTGGCCATTTTTTTTCACATGGTTTTCTTTTGTGTCACACATGACAGGCTAAGAAAGAAAGGGAATAGTGCCTATATACTCATACTCTAACTAGGTACAGTACATGTACCATTCGTCCTAAACACACTTACCACTGACGGTTTTTAACTCTCCAGTATCTCATCCACTTTCTGTTTTGTCTGGCTTAGTCTGAGCCTCATTTGCACACATCCTCCCTTGAGCTTGGGTTGCTAATGTGTTGATCTTGGTTCTCAGACAAGTCCTAGTGAAGACACAAATTATGAAAAAATAAATTGACCATCATTTGTCTTAATCTCACAATGTGTGACATTTACTTCCAAGGGCAGCATAGGCCCAGGGGAGGGCGACTCCATATGGGGGTGTTTGTCAGAAATTTTGAAAAGAACCCCTAAGAAGTACCAAGATCGTTTTTTTGCAGGCGTGGCTTGAACCTTTTTTCTCCCCCATAAGGTACCAATTTTTCTGTCATATTTTTTTCGGCTCAATACCCTAAAAAGTACCGCAAAAGTTCCCGCTGTGGATATTTTGAGGCTAATCACCCCAAGAGGCACCAAAACCACTTTTTTAACCCCTAACAGGTACGATAACCCCCCTGTCCTTTTTATATGGGAGTTCCCCTCCCCCCTCCCCCCTCCCCCAGAAGCATAAGAACCAACTTAAAACCACTAGATGCCGATTATTATTCTGTAGCACAAAATGGGGGTCAAAAAGGTTGTTGTTGAGGTCGACTCAGAGTGTACATGAAAATTATTTAATAATTTGTGTGATTACAACTGAATGTACTGTATGAAAGATCACACAAGATTTTGTCTTTATAATTTGTTTGGTCTCACAACTGGATGAAGTACACTGTTATAGTGTGTTTAAAAAGTTGTATGGGAAATGTGGACCTAAATATAACTAACATGTTTTGCATGTACACTGTACATGATTTATTTCAGCATTTTTTTTTTTTATTTTGTTGAGTGAACCTCAGTATGTCCTCATGGTTTGTCATCACTCATTATTGGGCTAACTTTGTGAGGACTTATCCTACATGTAACTGAGACAACATAAAAGGATTAATTAACTCACCTCAATAATCCTCCACATATGGTTTGGTTAGTCTTGTTGTAGTTTAGAAGGCCAGACTCAAGAGAGCGGCCGAAATCGAGCCTAAAATGAAAATAAGAGTGTTTTCATTATCATTATTTCTTTGAATGCATCCTAAAGGTTACTTTGACAGCTAAAAATAATAGAATTTTGTTATGGACACCCTAAGTGAGACTAGAATCCTTGATTTATACCCCTAAACAAGACAACAAGCATCCCCGACCTTTTCATCTGGGAATTCCTCCCTGGGATGTCCTGCCATCCAGCACAATATTGTTATGTCATAGATTCATACACATACTCCACTAGGTACAACTGCTGTTCAGCCAAAACACACTTACTATGACTTTTAACTCTCCAGTATCTCATTCACTTTCTGTCTTGACTGGCTTAGTCCCTGGCCTGGACACATCTTACATTTGGTTGAGTTAGCAATATCTTGATCTTGCTTCTCAGTCAGGTCCTTGAAATGTAAAAAGTTACTGTTAATTTTAATCTCACAATGTATGGCATTTACTTTCTTGAGCAGCATAAGAGCTAATTAATCTTAAAACTACAAGCCCAGGTTGTTTGAAGGATGGATAATGCTGTCCACTGGATAAATCACTATCCAGCAGATAGCGTGGTTTGTTTTGTTAACAATCTGCTGGATAGCAATTTATCTGGTGGATAGTGTTATCCAGTCTTCAAACAACCAGGGCCTGGACTGGTATAGCAGCTAACTACTGAACGTACCAGAGTAAACATCAGTCTTACCATTATTGGATCATGTGTACTTACAGCATCTGTCGGTCGAGTATTGGCCGATACTATCTGCCGATATATCAACCGACAGTCGGTTGACATATCGGCCGATACGCGGTGGTGTATCAGTTGACTGTCAGTGGTATCGGTGTATTGTTAACCGTTGTTTTGCTGAAATAGCAGCTGTTTTCTTACCCACAGGAGATGTGAAAGAAGAGTCTATCATCTATGCTCATATGTTGATAGGCGAGGATGCAGCTCAAACTGCCATCATTTCAAATACATGTCAAATGCAACTTGAGGTCTCAACAAGCATAGCTGGAAAAAAACAGTCAATGAGCTAGAAGAATGTTGCCGGTATGAAAAGTCAAAAATGGACGAGGGCCACCAAAAGACCCTCTCAAAGGGCTATAGAAGATTATTTAATATTTGAGTAGAGAAGATAGAAGTCAGCAACATGAGCCGACCAAATGAACGTGTTGGCCGAGTGTAAGTGGAGTATCGGCCAAGTGTTGGCCGAGTGTCGGGGAAGTATCGGTCGAGTGTCGGCCGACATGCATGTCCGTTGATGTTGGTCGATATGTCGGTCGAGTGTCAGACAACATATTGACCAAGAATCAGTCGATATGTCCGCTAAGTGTCGGGCAACATATCAGCTGATAGTATTGACTGATACTTGGCCGACAGATGCCTTAAGTACACATGATCCCCTGTATTATTATTATCTATTTTTTCACATTTAATATAATTTGTACGCCTGATGGCCTAAGTTATCAGCAAGAGCTATTGTGTAACAATATTTTAAACAGTTTAGATAGGAATTTTCTTATATGAATTTAATCTTAATAATAAATTATAAATTATTACGCCTTCAAATTAACATACCTACTCTGTGAAGGAGTGATGTCAATGACCTCTGCTTTCCACCTGCTCTGGTCTCCATCTTATCTGAACTCTCCTTCCCTGGCTTACAGATCAAACTGGTCGGTTCTCCAGGCTGTTCTTCCAACATCTCTTCAGCCAAGTAAAATAAGTTATGTTTTTTTTTTTTTTTCTCAAGCATCTGAGCGGGCCGCATTATCCTTCACTGTAGCCTGTCCTGGTCTTATCTGAATGTCCTCCCTATTGTTTGAAAGTACAATAAAGCATCAGCCTTCAACAGTTCGGTTGTGTCTCCACGGGAAGTGAACATTCTTTCCATGTTAATTCATTCAATCCATACAACTCGTTTTTCCGCCATCTTTCTTTCTCTCTCTTGACTCAACCCCAAGCTCACTCGGTCACAATGTTCCTGGGTAAATTCCATTCTATCCCGCGGGCGCGCGGGTGGCGGATCCCTTACTCGTCAATGTTACGTTTCGAAGGATCGTGGTGAACGCAGATTTTTATTCGGATTCCTTGTCTCTTTTTGTTTCACAAATTTTATTTCATTTAGTAGTTTCTGCAGATTGTAAAGTAAATTGTACCAAGCAGAAATCTTCGATCCTCCTCCAAAAACCTCTTGAAAGTACCACCTGTCAAGTTAATAGGCTATGGTCATAGGTGTTTCTCTTTTGTAGCNCACCTAGCCTATGGAACTCTCTTCCGAACAATATAAGAGGGAGCGGCTCGCTATCAGATTTTAAGACTTGTATAAAGACATATCTTTTTAATAAATTTTACAACTAGACTTTTGGTTAGTTAGTTAATTAGTAGATTAGATAGTTTAGCTAGTTAGTTAGTCAGTCACTTAGTTAAGTTAGTCAGTTTTTATTTAAAGGTTTTAATGATTCCTAGTTTTACTTTCATTTTTACAGCTTAGCTATTTTATTTGTCAGTAATTTTTTATCACTGATGTAAATTTTTAATGTAAATTTTATTTTTAATAACATTTTTACTGTAAAGCGCCATGAGCCCTGGATATGGCGCTATATAAATCTATTATTATTATTATTATTATTATTAATTTAATGATTTAGCTTATGTTTCAACTCAGTTCTTTCCTGGAAATTTTTTTTTACCCTAGTCCATGAACTACTGATTAAAAGCTAACATTATTAGCCGCCTTCGAGAACATTACGCCTTTTTATCTAATGTACATTTACGCTAAGTAATGCCTGTGCATCCAGTACAAAGCAAGCTAAAGTTCGTTCTCAGATCTTTCGCTGTACTAGGGGGAGAGAGGGCCCTGGGGGTGAGATTGGATGACACGCTGGAATACTCTCTCACTAACTAGACACAAATACTTAGTAATAAAGTAACGATATTCTTCAGATTACAAGCTCGTAAGACCAAGGAATCTTTCTCAGGCAAAACTGAATTAATTCTGCAATTTTGGAACTTGACATTCGTACAAGATTTTCTTTACCTGATCTGCGCAGGCGTACAAGAGCATTTTAAAATGCAAATGTGTAAAACGACATGTAAAACATTGCGAATTACAAAAATACAAAACTGTCAACTTTTACAAATAAAGGTAATGTACGAAAGAAGAATTCAGAAGAAAAATTGGAAAAGAGTCGAAGCTGATCAAATATTCGTGATAATTCAGCAAAAACAAGTCTAAACAGTTTATCTTTGAGGTCCATACGATCAAGGCGTTTCTTACTGCGACAAGAATTCAATGAACTAAAGTTTGAAAACCGGAGAAGCATTATTAGGCGCATCAAATACTGGTATTCGCTTTTAAGCGAACAAGAAATGACTATGGGGGCTTTTGGCCCTCGTAATACAAGTCATTTTAACACGAAAATAAAGTAACTATGGCGGTAGCACGCGCCACCGCATGGCAATCAACCTGCCTTGAGCAATTATCAGTTACAGACTAGTCTACGTAGATCGGCGTGTCTAAAGAAAACTTACTCCTTATGCTCAGGTGCGAAAACAATCGTTAAATCGCGATAATTGTAGTTTAAACTTTGCAAATTTACTACCATGGCATTTAAAGCTTTTTCAGACAAGTTGGAGTAATCGCGCACCAATATGTCAGTGTTATGTTATGACAAATGAGAATATACGGCACGGAATGCCAATTCAGAGACCATCGCCCATCGTAATAGATCCTACGTTATAGGAAATAAAGTTGTACATACTTAAGCTGGGATCTCACAGCACACTTTAGAACGTTCTTAGAAGACTTGCTTTTAAGTGAAGTACAGGCTTAATTCACATTCTTACCATGAAAACTCCTCGTTTTCGCCATTTTAACCGGCTGCAAAGGTGCTCATGCTAATATTTATTCAAAAGATGCGGGGTAATATTCTCAATGTGTCTTAAGCATTCAATTCTGTCAGGCGGTTTGTGAACATCTGCCCGTACTCTAGATCTACAAACTCTAACTGGTTAACTCGCTGCCTTTGTTTGGGCAGGAGGCCCGGACTCTTTAACAAAAATACACTTCCTGTCACTTTGCCGAGAATGAAGTGAAAAAGCAGTCTTTTTAAGTTCTGTTCTAGTAGTTATTAGGTTTAGTATAGTGGCGAGGTTCTGCACGGCGTTGGATCCGTCAAAATGGCTTCTACAGTGTTCTATCTCGCCGTCCTTTCACTGGTCGTGATCTGCACACTTGCTGGGTAAGAAACGAACGGTAGATAAGTTAAGAGTAAGAAATAAGTCTAGGGCAGCCCGCATTAGCTACAATATCAAATATTAGTTATTAGCTTTAGTTTAGTGGCGAGGTTCCACACAACACTGGATCCGTCAAAACGTCGCAAAAAGTTATCCACACATTTTTATCTTGCCATTATCTCAGTGTTGGCTGCGATCAGTAAGACTTCTCCATTTGTTTGTTATTTATATTATTATCATCAGCAAAATAGCAGTGTTGGCTCGGAACGGCCGGGCGACTTGAGAGGAAACAGTTGTAAGCTTCTGAACAAAATATAACAAAGCAGGGGGTGATTTTTTTCTCGCCTGGTATAAAGGGTGAAACTCTCCGAATTGTTAACAAGTGTTCTAATTGTACTGTTGTATTTGAAATTTCCAAGAAAGCGTAAACACTGTTCAGATATTCAATCGATAGCAGGTATCACCAACTAAGATCAGAAACGTTTTTAATAGATTTACACTCCGACGGAAGTAAAACATGAACAATTTGTTCCAAGCGGGAGGTACGATCTACCACGAGGGAAGGAAGAAAGCCTCTAATTGCTGCGTAACCGACGTAATAGTGATCAACTTATAGACTCTCTTTAAAATATCAGTACAAAGCTAAGCAGACAGGTAAGGAGAATTGAGAAAATCATCAGCTGGAAGATATTGTCTTCATATACTACCAAATTCTCACAGCTATCATTAAAGAAACATATGGAAGTCAAAAATGAGAATGTATATTTAATCTTAGCGATACATACTTAAAGACTGCGTCTTCCGCCGTACGGAGTTCATAATTTGCACTTTCATAGTGTATAAACTATAGCGCATTTATGATGACAGAAATTATGCTCAAATGCACCACTTGTCTCCAAAAGCTATTTCTTTAATTGACAGTTCAATTTATATATTCAACTAATGGAGGTTGTTTTAAATAGAAAACCAACCGTATGCTGGCTTGTATGTACGGTTAAATGTTTCTAAAGTAGCTGAGGGCAACGAAACCGGGCCAGTGAAGCTTATATTGTTGATAAATCCGCGAATTGCGTGCAGCGGTTGTACTATTACGCCGGGCAAATAAACTGTAAAAATTTTGAAAACGATCGTAGAAAGTCAGAGTCTGCGGTATGTTCTCTCTAAGAACTAACTAAAATATGCTTCTGCTGTTTTTGACTCAATAACGTAATGCATTCGTGAGCACTTTAAGTAGGAAAACATGCGGCAGGTATTATATTAAACATACTGGTGAAATAGCTAATTATGCTTTTATAGCTATCCGCTGTTATAGATACAGGTAATGTGTTTTTAAGACTTCCTTTTTACTTTTATTTAAAAGTGTCTATATATAGTTTTGGACCCCAAACCTAGCCTGTAAATAAACAGAGTTTGTGAATTCATTTTTCGACAAATTTAAAACACGAGAAATGAAAATAATCTATTTGTGTTCCGCGTGCGTGTTTAGGCCATATAGCTGCAGCTGCTTTGAACAAAGAGTGTGTTTTCAAATGTTTGACTATTAACTAGCATAAGGACGCCACTTTCCTAATTGGTTTGAAAAATGAATTCAGGTTTCCCACTAGCAATAACAACGCCTCCTTTTTGTTCTGGTTGGTAAATTGAGATGTTTTTGAGTCCTTCATTTACTTAAGTTTCTTTTTACTGTTTATCTTAATATTCTTTAAGATAATTGATACTGAGCTAGACATCAAAGAGAATTTACGAGCAGCAGTCTTCTATCAAAGAAATCCGGCCCAAAAAAAAATTAGTTGTTATATAAAATTTGAACTTTTGAATTTAGATAGTTAGACATTTCCTGAATGTGTGACGCAAAAAAAAAAAGAAAAGCGCGTCAAAGATAGATAGATAGCGCGTGATCGTGTAAAAGAGTGAGAGTCAAAGGGCGTGAACGTGGAATGGTGTGAGCGTGTAAAAGTGTGAGCGTGCAAAAGCGTGAGTGTGTAAAAGTGTGAGCGTCAAACATCGTGTGAGCGTGTAAGTGTGAGAGCTAAAAAGCATGAGTGTTGCAGGACACATTAAGAACTAAAAGGTGCGAGAATTAAAAATAAATAAATCAACAACCAGTCAAGCTACAAAGGCAAGGTGTCAGTGGGCAGTCAATGATGAGGCGCCCGCACGCAGCTGTTTTGTTTTCTTGTCTTTAAAAACATGTTAACTCTTGATTTATAACTCTGTTGGATGGCTTGGCAGTAATGACTCACCCTCCCTTTTCTTTCAGCTATAATCATTAACACTGTTGACCTTTTTGTTAAATGGGCGTAGTCTATATGGGGCCTCTGTAATGAAAAATCATTTATTTATCTCAGCTTCAGTTTAGAAAACACTTTTGTTCTCCAGAAGTTTAAAAACGTACCAAATCACAAAAAACCCTGTTCAATGGTTTTGTATTGAATAACAATATATTCGAAAATTACAGGAACCAGTAAGGAGACGTGAGATGACTAACGATAGCGAGGATTACGATATGATGGAAAAACTTGAGAAACTTGAACTCAAACAAACTTGAGAACGCGAGGCTCGTGTTTTCAGCCGAGTTTATAATATATCATTTATCCGGTGAAATTTTCCAAATATCTTTTCGCAACTTACAGTACCTTTGAGGGTTTGCCATCTCTTTAATTTCATAAGGTGAAGAAGATTTCTCAGTTTTATTTCAGTTTTAAGGGGGCACTCGGCACATGGCATGATTGTATGAAGGTTATCAACACTGTATAGACGTTTAACTTTTTTATTACTAATTTTCAGGGACAAAGTTATTCGTGTCACACCGAAAAGCTCAAATGAAGTCGACTTTCTATCTTCGTTGGAAAGCAGACAGGATCTTGAGGTAGGTCTTAAGGAGGGCCCGGGAGAACTCCGATATGAAAGGTCGGAGATGCTCGTCAGAAAATTTGAATTAAACTCCTAAAGGAGAACAATCTGGGCGCGGCTCCAGCTTTATTTTACCCCTAAAAGATACTTTTTGACAACGGACATGACAGCGTTTTTTATTATTTCTTCCAGAAGAATTCTAAAAGATACCTTAAGAGTTAAAAAATATAGGCGGTTTCGTCCTGAACATCCACAGTGAGACTAAAATCCGTGATTTACACCCCTAAGCGAGACGATAGACATCCCCCATCACTTTATATGGGGATCTTCCCAGGGATTGAGGGCCGGGCACAGGGGAAGGAAAATTATCTCCACGCTCTACACAATAACTACTTAGATAGGCAAAAACCTAAAGCAGAAAATTCAAGAAATGAAAAATAATTCCCTCACGATAAAGCATCGTAACTTATCTAAAATAATTCTACAACACTAAGGACCATTCCAAGTCATCCAAGTGTGACCGCTATATCCAGTGAAGTTGGGGGATTGAGTCCGAAGGAAAATTGTTCCAAGAACTTGGATTTTGTGTTACTTGAGCGAAGGGTCAATATACAGGCTAAGGGATGTACAGCGGGAATTTTTTTTTTGGTAAGCACGAGAAGAACACGAAGTCTTCATGAACATGACAGGATGTTTACTGTGGGAACATTCGGATTCTCCGGTATAGCGGGCTTATTTTCATGCTTTCTCAGAGACGTTCAACATTTTATTTTGGATAAAAATTCATTATACTGAACGTATAATTGGGGACTCCCAGTTCAGACTGGATCACAAGATTTTCTAAAATTAGTCACTTGCGAGGAAAAAGTTACTGGTATTCCGCCATTTTATCATATTACTAATTAGGTCAAGAGAACACGTAAAATAGAGCGGTTTTCAATTGAGTGTCGGAAAAACCAAAACCAAACCAATTACATACCAATTAGACTATTCAGCCAATATCAAACCGTAGAAAAACCAAAACCAAAGTAATTGTCTAATTACTTTCAACACTCAAATGAAAAACCAGAAACTGCAAGGGACCGCATATGATAAACGCTGCCAACGTGGGATCTGGCTGGCGTTACATATCTTCGCTACACAGTGCTGACGAGCCCCAAGAAGGGCGAAACAGCTGTCCACTGTTGCGATCCTACTTTTATCGGTTCTTGTCATGTTGGTGTCTCGAAACGTTTTTCACGTAGTATCAGCCTTGCAGTCTATTGTTTGTCTTCACTTAAATGAAAACCGCTCTATGAGCCCGTATTGAATTGTAGAGTCATAATTGTTTTTCGTCTTTCACATACGCCTTATGCTCCCAGTAGGGGGAATACTCCTATCTAGAAAGGACCGGAGTGCTTGTCGGAAATTTTGAAAAGAACCCCCAAGACGTACCAGGATGCTGTTTTATGGGGGTGATTTAAATTTTTTTCATCCCTAAGAGGTACTAATTCTAAAACAAAACATTATCTCAGCATTATAGTTTTTGGGCTCGATACCCTAAAAGGTATCATTAAGGCTCCCGCTGTGGATGTCCTGTGGCTAAACACCCTAAGAGGCGCCAAGACCACCTGTTTAACCCCTAAAAGGTACGACCAGCACCCCTGTTTTTTTTATACGGGAGTCCCCCACCGGGGCTTATGCAGTCGGTACGATTTTCGGGTGATGCTGTATGTATTACAAAAACTAGAAGCAGAAATAATAGAAAATGACATGATAATGGAAAGATAAGTCACTAACCTCGTGGCTCAGGAAAATATACACAACTCGCAAAATATCCACTCATATTATATGTTAAATCATTGAATAAGGTGTACGTATTTCATGGTCTTGTAGCTTGATTTCTGGAAGGCGCCACAGAAGCCCGACCTCCCCGTTGATATTCACGTGACAGATGAAGCATACAAGGTGCTGGCTGTTATGCTGAAAGAACAAAATATTCAGTTTCAAATAGTAATCGTTGATGTTGAGAAGATGATGCACGATGAAAGGCGTGAAGTACAGACACGTGGTATAGAGTTCGGCTTTCAGTACAGCAGATATCATCCTTTAGATGAGGTAATACGAGTATTTATTAACCTAGCGGTACGAATACGGTGGAAATTCAAACGATCTAATTCAGCACAATAGTGCCAATTTAACGCACTGAGGGTCCATGGCCTTATTTATCCCCTCACCGGGGGAGATACTCCCTTATTCAGGCTATATAGGTATGTGCGGCCCCAAAGGGTATGGGGTTTTTAGCCGTTCTGGTCAGAAATAGGGTATCGATTTTGGCCATTTTGGTCTCAAATGGGATATAGTTTTAGCACTCTTGTCTTGAATTGGGTGTGTTTTTAGAAGAAGCTACTTTTTCCACATTACCGCCATCGGTAAGACCATCAAAAAGGGCCCTTCACAATGCCTTCAGAACGGTCTGAAATAGGGAACTAATAAGGAAGGTCTGAAACAGGGTATCGATTTAATGGTCAGAGGCCCGTTTGTTGAAGGTCCCGAAATGTTTCGCACCCGGAAAGCCATAGCAAAATCTCAAACGTTATGGTTGCAGAGCTGTGTTATTCCCATATTCTTAACATAAACAGAAGATCTCGTCATATAAGAAACTTCAGGCGCATACCCTTCTCTGTTTTTAGATACGCATTAATTAAAATTGGCTTTGCAGGCCCGAAAAGTTTTTAGGGCTTTCGAGAAACGGACCCCAGGTCTTAAAAAGGGCATCGAATTTTTGGTCAGGTCATAGATAGGGTAGGGAAAACTTGCAAATTTTGGTCTTAAATAGGGTAAGGGTTTTGAGAAGTGGGTCGCACACCCCCACCCAATTTTTCTGGGAGTACCCTTCCCCCGCCCCCCTCCTTGTGAAGCTATTTGAGTACAATGTTTGCCGAAAAAAATTAAATAACTATTTTAGTCCACACTGTGACTCTTTTCAGCCCGTGGGTCCATATTAACCGACGCAAACCAGAGTTTTGGCCCTATTTTAGAAAACAAATTAGATCCCAAATATTTGTGTTTATGTTATCCCTGCAGGTAAAAATTTTAACATATCAGTCCAAGTTGAACAACAGGAACTTTTGTCTTTTTTTCTAGATTGTACAAGAGTTGAGAGACCTAGCACACACACATTCAGGAATGGCTCATCTGTTTAGTGTGGGTAAATCTTATGAAGGACGTCACCAGCATGCTATTAAGGTAAAGCCTCTCCTGTATAACATAGAGCGGTTTTCATTTGAGTGAGTATTTTTTTTTTGTATTCAAAGTTTTTTTTTTTTTGAAATGTTGCAGCTAAAAGGCCAATCTTCACCAAACAAACCTGTTTTCTTCATGAACTGTGGAATTCATGCGAGGGAATGGGTATCACCTGCAACTTGTATGTACATGATCAAACAGGTTTGTGACTGCTTGCATTGTAACTGGTTTTCGACCGGGCTGGACGGAAATAAGTAAAATACCATTAGTAACATTTCAATCAACTCAAGTTTGGGTTCAAAAAAACGTAAAGTAGATTCTTTGGAACTAGGAAAATCATAGTGCATCATAAAATGTCACTAAATCGTTGATGCTGCAGTGATTAAAAAAGAGAAAATATGACCAGCCAAGAATCCATTTGCCTAAGGTCCGCGACAAATGAATTTGTGTGTTGTGTGACAACGTGCCTTGATTGATCTTTGTTTGTTTGTAGATCGTCTCAAAATACGGACGAGACTCCAACGTGACAGAGATGCTGAACAAGATGGATTTCGTTATCATGCCTGTGCTGAACGTCGATGGCTATGCGTACACTTGGCAATCAGTTTGTATACATTGTCATAAATTAGTATTTTTTTTTTATATCGAGTACTAGGGAGAAGACGCATCTTAAATTTTTTGTTAGCATTCTTGAGTTTTATAAGAGTCAGGTTGGTTGATGTAACCATATTGGGTCAATTGTCTTCATATTTTAAATTTCGCGCTATCTTTTGATAGAAACAATCAACGATGCCTTGTAAAATCGAACAAGCTTGTGCCTTCGTTCCAGAGTGCGCTCAGTGTTTTCTTATTCCAAAATAAGGCGAAAAAGAAGTTAGCTTGCTACACTTAATTATCTAACTAAGCGTTACCATGGTTTCTGCGTAGTGAAAAGCGCGCTTAAGGTTGTGGTGGTTTGCGCCTTTGTTGCGTCTTTCACACTCACGCTTGTGGGTTTGTTTTGTTCAAGTTTTTAAGAAGAGCAGATGCTGTTTGTAGCCTACAACAGTGGCGGATCTAGGGGAGGGGTCCGGGGGGCTCAGTTGCCCCCCCCCCCACTTTATTTTCGATAAAAAAAAGAAGAAATAACAGAAGGAAGATAAGCCGGCAAGGCAAGCAAAACACCCGCCCCCCGCTAGCTCAAGGTCTGGATCCGCCACTGTGTATTAAACTTCTTACGTCAGTAATGCTGTTAGGCAACTATATTGTATATATTTTTATAGGATGACTACAGTCATAGGTTCTGGAGAAAGACGCGTAAACCAAACCTCGGAACCAGTTGTGTTGGAACAGACCCAAACAGAAACTGGGACTACAAATGGGGACGTAAGTACAGGGTTCATCTGTATGCAAAACTGAGGCGTGGTGGCCTTGTGGCTTATGTGGCTTGTGAGGAAATACACAAGCGGGAGGACTCATGCAAGAATCCAACACCAAAAAGCCAGGGGAATTTAGGAGGGAACCCATCGGAAGCCTTCGGTGGAACGTAGGTCAAAATAAGCGAAAACGTATTTTGAAAGCTAGAAAAAAGGAAGGGAACTCACAGGAAATGCACAGGGAATACACGGGGCATGCAACACACGAACAAATGCAACGGTGCAACAGACGAGCAAACGCATGGTGAAATACACAGCCGACCCCCCGGTGTGTTCCAATCGAACGTCAGGGAAATACATATAGAAGGAAGCCCCCCCGGGCATTAACACAGGGGGAATGTACCTAATTGTTTATAGGGGAAAGTGAAGGAAGGAGGCCCACCGGGGCATCCATGGGAGAACAAACTAGGAAATCTTTGTTCCCGAATTCTCATTGGAATTCTCACTGGCATGCTTGATTCAGTATTGATATTCGGGTGAGAAAATGCTTACTGATCAATGTTTTCTCTATGTTGCGTTAGTTCCAGGTGCCAGTTCTGATCCCTGTAACGATGCGTATCGCGGAACTCAGCCATTTACTGAAATAGAAGTGAAGAATGTGGCGGATTACTTGAGGGAAAACCGAAAGCGAATAGCCGGCTACATGGACATACACGCCTACAGTCAACTCTGGATGATACCCTGGGGATACACCGAAGATCCAACGGACGACCATGACGAACTGGTACGATAACTGAAACATGCAATTATAGTCACCATTTTGGCTTCTGAAGCGTTACATCACCAATGTGAAGATTTAACGCTAAAACCCGACCTCTTTGTTCGTCTGTTTTCATGATTGGTCGAACATATAGCTCCCCTTAACCGGCTAGCAAAATTAAACTTTGATTTCATAGTTTCAGTTGACCGATTTCTTATTTTTTCGCTTCTTCTTCTTCATTAGATAAGAACGCAGAATTTTGCTCATTTGAAAGACCACATCAAAAAGAGAAATTCTCCGATGATGTTTCAGAAACGCTCAAATTAGCCGCCATTTTTCACACCACTCGCACTAGGCTTCCCTCTCTTTAATTGTCATTCACACTACCTGCAACACTGGTACGTCTACTTACACAATTTACAACTATAATACAACTTCAAAAGTCCCTTATATTATTAACAAAACTTGTTATACAATTCAATTACTTATGCACTACTTACACTACTTACAATACGATGCAATTACAATACCACAATTTGCCTAACTTACTCAACAAAACAATACGATTACTTATGTAACTTACGATACTAATACTTACACTACTTATATATTAGGAGTACTGACGCTACTTACATTCATATTATAGTCTAACAATGAGCAACAAAATAAAAGATGCATTCATACTGAAATAGAAAAGCAACAAAATAAGATGGGTACTAGTCTTCTCTCGGTTGACATGGACTTGTGACGTAGGGTAAGGAACACCTGACTTCGCTTTCTATTTCAGAGGTACTTTTCATCAGGAAAGACATAATTTAGGGTTAGTTTACAGAACACCAAGCTAGATCTTGCTGTCTTGATGTCTCAGGGCAACGGGTTTCTGAATCTACGTCATGAAGTGAGCCCTCGCTTTCCTGATCAGCTGGAGGGGTGCACCAAATAAATGTAGAGTTTAAAAATGTCATAAAACGTTCGAATGGAAAATGGTTTTCAGAGAACGTCGACCGCGTTCCGTTTCTACGTAGTATTACAATGGGCAAGGGTGCTAGAGGAAGGGTGAATGATAGACGGCGGGCAAGCGTGCTAGTTTCATTAAAGAACTCTTTCAATTCTAAATTATAAAATGGTAGTTTTCGAAGACACGCTAAAAATCTTACTATTTTTATTTATATTGAGAAAATAAAGATATTTTTTTGGTAGTATTTCAATGAGAAAGTGAAAATATATTATGGCATGGGTACTTTTTCTTTTACCTTATTTCAGATGAGAGTCAGCAAGGAAGGAGTTAAAGCCATAAGAAGGGCTGGTTACGGGACTCTTTACAAATATGGACCATCCTCTGTCATCATCTGTAAGTCACAGAAAATTTTAATGAAAATTCTACAATTTATATTATGTACATAACAAAGGAGAGCTAGGAAATGAATTGATCAACACCTTGAAACACAGCATGGCAACATCAAAGCAAAGACTGACCACCTTTTTAAAGTTCTGAGGAAATGCAACGGCAAGTTCCATTGCTTAGTCTGCTAGCTGTTGAACATAAAAGACATCAAGCTTTCTCTTAACACACAAACCGACTCCGTTCGCGCCAAACTGTTTACGTGACATTTTCGTGCATTTTTTTCCTTACTATGTTCCTTACCTTAGGAACTATTCCCATAGGACCCGGAAATATTTTATGTATTGTTTCATATTTTATATATTCGTATTACACCTTATCCTTTTTCGCTTTTTAACTTGATAATGGCGTAACCTGGCGCCGAAACGTCGTTCACTTTTTTAAATGTGTTTTAAAAATCTTCTAGCGTTTAACTTCTTGGTAAATTATCTCCTTGGTTTTTTTTTTATTTTTAACTTTTTTGGGGGAGGTGGGGAGGGGAGGGTGGTGGCTATTAAAGATAATTAGACACCACTGGGGAAGGGGATGTTTATCTTAACTACCAGAGCGGTGTTAAATTAAATGTAGTTGTTATGGCACCTTTTCATTGCAATTGTCGTAGTCAAGAAATTCAATGAGGTTAACTTCTGTAGAAGAGGTAAAATAAATAAAACGCGTTGGAAATTAAACGTATACTAGCAGTGATGGGGGTTCTCCTCAGCCTCCCAGCTGAATTTTTAATCTTTATAAACATTAGAAAATATTTCACTTGCTCAAGAATTTACATTTTAGATCTAAAACATTCCAGTTTTGGAAGTGAAAGAATAATAATAATAATAATAATAATAATAATAATAATAATAATAATAATAAAATTAAAATTGCTAGGTAGAACTCTGGAGGCAAACATTTCCAAATTGGAAAAAGATATAAATCACAAGCGTGAGAACTAGTTAAGCTTCTGAACCCGAGAGGGGGGGGGGGNGGGGAAACTCCAATATAAAAAGGACGCGGGGTGCTTGTCGTACCTTTTAAGGATTAAAAAAAGCGTTTTTGGTACGTCTTCGGGTGTTCAGCCTCAAAAGGTCAACAGTGGGAGTCTTCGCAGTACCTTTAGGGTGTTGAACCGAAAAAGCTATAACAGGAGATAATGTGACGTTTTAGAATTAATACCTGTTAGGGGTGAAAGAAATATTTAAGCCACGCCCATAAAACAGGATCTTGGAATCTCTTAGGGGTTCTTTTCGAAATTTCCGACGAGCACCCGTGTCCTTTTTTAGATGGGAGTTCCTCCCGGGTTCTGAATCGTCGACGGCAATGTCAAAAACGTTTCCTTTTTCTAATATTCTTCCTTTTTTTGCTCGCATTTGCAGACAAGAATTCCGGTGGCAGCAAGGACTACACGTATGGCGAATTAGGAATCAAGTACTCGTTTGCTTTGGAGTTAAGGGATAAAGGACGGTACGGCTTTTTACTACCAGCCGATCAGATCGTACCTACAGCCATGGAGACATTTGAAGGAATCAAGGCAATGGCGAGGGAAATGAAGCTGTAGTTACATGTGCTTGTCTGGGGAAGGTCATACTTGGAATATTCGCTCTCAGAGCGATGAAATAACTTAATAAAAGAGGGACAATGGGAGAATTGTGTCTTTGAGTATTTGAGGGACATGAGAAGACGCGCACGGTTTGTACTGTAAGTATCCCGGAGAGCTCCATACAATTCCTTATACTTTTAGTACAAGGAATTGTTATGGATTAGTCAAGGCGCTGCGGGCGTCGTCTCGCATGATCCTAGCGAGGTGTTTTGCCCGACAGTCTTCTGTCAGCAAATGTCATCTCACGAAAGGAAACCAGAAACGAGCGGAGGGCCAGGACCGGATTATACATGTCGTCAAGTTGTTTTAAACGAGTATTGAATTTCCTGTACAATAAAAGGCCTTTGTTTTATACATCCGAGACGATGTTGTGAAATTAGATAAATCTGGTAATTAGTGTTTCGATCTGGCCAAAATAAACCAGCTACAATTGCTTTGTAATGGCGGAATTAGTGAAGGAGTTCGAATATGAAGAAAAGCGAAGTGAACGGGTCATCCAATCACGTAAAAACACTGCAGAAGAAAGAGCGAGACAGAGAAAAGAATGGAGAAAGAGAAAACAGGAGCAGAAAATGGCAAATTCCACGAATACAGCCGGATCGCAACTACCGCCACTCAACTGGGAAGAAAATGACTTGGTGCCATCTAACCCTGACGCTTTGACCTGTATTCCTGAGGATAAGGAAAAACAGGCGCCTTCCTCGAACCAATGTTTTGCTCCGGTGAATGTTAAGAAACCTCGTTTCGCAGCGCCTAAGGCAGGCAGCGGAGAGAAGAAAATGGACATGGCTTGTTCCTCAAGAGGTGCCCTGATGGTTCACATGGCGGTTGGTGCCGACGCAGTTGTCGCGCACAAGACTCAGAAGCCTTATGAAAGCCCGATTGCAAAACAAACCACAATTGCTAACAGCGGATGCAAATTTGAGCGCAAAGAACTTAGGCCGGAAAACATTGAATACTTATCTAAAAATCCAGTCGGTAGTGGAAGCTTCGGAAAATGTTTTCTCGGGCGCTATAGAGGTATCGAAGTGATAGTGAAGCAAATGACTCACAATGAAACAGCGGAGGATAAAGAAAGAGCAAGGAGAGATTTACTCCATGAAGCAAAGATTGTTTCTGCTTTGGGTGACCATCCAAATCTGCCCATGATTTTTGGTGTTGCCACTAAAACTTTACCATTATGCCTCGTGACGCAATTTCACGGTGTTAAGGAAGAAAGTGTAACTCTCCATCAAGCGGCTAACGCCAGTATACTTACCATAGCAAACTGTATTTCTATATTTCAAAAGATATGTTGTGCTTTAGGCCACGTGCATTCAAAAGGCTATCTTTACAATGACATAAAAGCAAACAATGTCGTACTGGAACGAACCTCAGTCTCTGAGGAATTCAACCCAGTTCTCATTGATTTTGGGAAAAGCGGAAAGGCTTCATCGGCCCTGTTGTACCGCAGAAAAGGCAACGTTGTGAACGGCAAAGGGAAAAGCTATTTGGCCCCTGAGGTTGTAAGTGAACGACTCTACAGTGTTGTCAGTGACATTTATTCATTGGGACGAATGCTCAAGGCTATATCATGTATGGTGGGCTTTTACGAGCGGGTCCGAGGATTAGTAAAGGCGTCAACCACAGATAAGCGCTCAGAGAGACTCAGTCTTAATGTTTTCTCAAATAAGATTGCCGAAGTCAAATTTTAGGTGTAGCATCATTCATAATTAAACACGTCTATAAGCTTAAATGGTCATGTCAGAATAACTTCGTCTAAAATTGAAGTATTGTATTGTCAGTGAATTTTGTTACGAACGTGAGATCGTTAGCAATGAAATACCGTGCGTGCCACAGAATGACTAGACCCACCAGTGTAAAATTTGTTTCAATAACCAATGAATAGAATACTTCCTTGCCCATGATTCTGCCGCAACGAAAGTTTAGAAATGAATGTAAGTGGTAAAAAAGTCTTTTATTCAATTTTCAGTTGGATAAGTGAAAGAGATAAGTATTACTATTACAATTCTTGCTTTAATACAATATGTCGCGGTTGAACCTCTCACAATCGAGACAGACCTATGACTGAGTTAGGATTTTGAGTTGGATTTTGGAGGATTTCGAACAACAAGAACAGACGCGATATACATGAAGTTTTCGCAAAAAGGTGCCAAATTGTTCGAAAGATCCATTTAAACCAGGAATTTAATTTCTCTAGTTTCACGACTTTTCCCTTAGTATCGTCTGGGAATGACACCACAAAGCAAGCACCCGAAAATCCAACTCGAAATCCTAAATCGGTAATAAGGCAACCTCCATACAATCAGCTCTTATTGTATTTTACTTTCTTCTGGTTGTTGTTAAGGACGTTCGCGCCAATTGTTTCTGTGCATCCTTACTGCGCACGCAAATTCACACGCCACGTCATGCACGAGAGCGTGCGCTAAGTAATAAAATGAACAATGATGGGCAGATGACAATTGCTGAAACTTTTCCTGGATTCAACGATCTTGGACGTTCGGTGACCCCTATTTTTCTTTTGATGGATCATTTTCTCTACCGATTTTCTGCGTTTAGCGAAAAAATGAAGAAAATCTATCGACTAGAAGTTTGAATTTTTTACAAAATGCAGCATCGAATTCCGTTCTTTTTAGCTCTTCGTTCATCTTACTAGTGACTACCCCAAGTGAGGACGGGGGGTGGGGGGCGGGAACTCCCATATGAAAATGTCTGGGATGCCCGTCGGGAAATCTGAGTTTACCCCCGAAGGAGACCAACCTGGGCGTGGTCCGAACACGGAAAAAGCTCGATCACGAACCGCTGTTCAGGACAGGAGCCCGCGCTAGTAGACCGGACTCGAGAGAGCGGCGGAAATCGAGCCTAAAAACGAAAATGAGAACGTTTCTTTTATTATTATTATTTCTTCGTGTGCACCCTAAAAGATACTTTTACAGCTAAAAATAGTGGCCTTTTGTCCTGAACACCCTAAGTGAGACGGGCAGAATCCTTGATTTATACTTCTAAGCGACACGATGACCATCCCCAACCTTTTCATATCAGATTCCCCCTGAGAATGCTACGAATAGCGAAAATATCACTAATGATGCTGTGGCTTTTTCATTTTCTCAAGGGGTGCTTAGATTCTCGGAGTGTTTCATGGCGGCATAATGCATAGTTTAGACTTCCTTCCCGGGAAGGTACTCTGTAAATCTTTGGTTAGGAGTGTGCCGCTGGGACCCTAAAACCCTTACTCTATACAAGACCATGATCAGCTTGATTTTGCAACCATATTCTAGACTAGACACCAAAAACCCCTACCCTACGCTAACTAAACCAATATCTTACAAAGTCACTTCCGAGTTTCAATTTCTACCACAGAACCGCAAGTAAAGAAAATTGTTCTGCACTAAATTTAGACACTAGCCACTTTTCAGGTAAACTATACCCCAATCTATACCAAAACTGTTTGATTTCTATACCCTATTCCAGACTAAACTACCTGAAAACCACACCCTTCGCAGAGGCACATACCCATATTGCTTAATATATATGGGAGTCGGTGGCAGATCCAGACCTTGAGCTAAGGGAGGGCCAAGTTTTGTTTTGCTTGCCCTGCCAGCTTTTCTTCCTTCTGTGATTTTTTTTCTTTTTACCCAAAATGAGGGGGCCCGGGGCCACCCGGGCCCCTCCCCTAGATCCGCCACTGGGAGTACCCCCCGGTGCTTCTTTATATGCCGGCCTCACGATATGGATATTAACGCCGACTAACATAAGCTTTCCTATGTACTCTGGAAGAACAAAGCTTTTTGACCAATCAGAGGCGCGCACAACTTAAACTGTATCACAAACACACTCATGAGGGAATCCAACTCGCCAAAGGCGGGCTCCACTGAAAACCGCCTTTGGCAAGTTGGATTCCCTCACTAAATATTATTATTATTATTATTATTATTATTATTATTATT